GCTCATTGGACACTGAAACAAAGCTTAAGTTTAAAATTTGGTGTTTTTCTGTGTATCGGTTCATGAGTTATGCGTTATACAGACACACACACACACACACACACACACACACACACACACACACACACACACACACACACACACACACACACACACACACACACACACACACACACACACACACACACACACACACACACACACACACACACACACACACACACACACACACACACACACACACACACACACACACACACACACACACACACACACACACACACACACACACACACACACACACACACACACACACACACACACACACACACACACACACACACACACACACACACACACACACACACACACACACACACACACACACACACACACACACACACACACACACACACACACACACACACACACACACACACACACACACACACACACACACACACACACACACACACACACACACACACACACACACACACACACACACACACACACACACACACACACACACACACACACACACACACACACACACACACACACACACACACACACACACACACACACACACACACACACACACACACACACACACACACACACACACACACACACACACACACACACACACACACACACACACACACACACACACACACACACACACACACACACACACACACACACACACACACACACACACACACACACACACACACACACACACACACACACACACACACACACACACACACACACACACACACACACACACACACACACACACACACACACACACACACACACACACACACACACACACACACACACACACACACACACACACACACACACACACACACACACACACACACACACACACACACACACACACACACACACACACACACACACACACACACACACACACACACACACACACACACACACACACACACACACACACACACACACACACACACACACACACACACACACACACACACACACACACACACACACACACACACACACACACACACACACACACACACACACACACACACACACAAACAGACATCATCGCGAAAATAGTCAAAACGGATTCAGGGGACCTCAAAACATAAAAATCCGTCGAAAACTCGAGGTCGAAAAAAATCATGATTCCTATACTTTCCTTATATCTGTATACAGATAGGAAAGTAAAAATGAATAAATATTTAATTACATATTTCTATATTGTGAATATTGAATTAAGCTAAGAGCTGCACAAAATAGAATTTTTAAGTAATATTTTTTTTAAAACAGGAGCGGGGCTGGACGAAATATTAAAATATTTTAATCATATTTTATATAAAACTTATTAAGGCAGTAAAAAGTCATTTTGACACTAATCTTAGTAGATTTTAGGATTTTTTTGTTTGAGCCTCAACGGGTATAAAACATAGTCACAATCAGTCACAACTTTTCCATAATAGCCCAACTTAAATTTCGAAAAATATTTTTTTTTTTCTAATTTTCGGACCACCCTAGTAACCATATAAATTATAGGAAATTTTATCTAGTTTAATAGGTAATATTTTCAAAATACTGTTTTTGGGCGCAATTTTACCAATATGGCGGCGCAAGCGGCAAAGATACGAGGCCGCAAGGTAGAAATTCGAAAACAACACGTCGAAATATATAAAAATGCCAATGTTCTAAATATGTTGGGTTTTATTTAGAGTTCTAAAAAATTAATTGTTTTTCTCCGAAGCCCTAAAAGAGACTGTTATTTTGACAAAAGTACTACAATCAACTGTATACAAAATTTTATAGGAAGGGGCACCACCTAGAAAGGTGCGAAAAGATTCTGATTCGTTTCTTTCCATTCCGCAGTTTCTTTTAGAACCGATTAGGGAAACAATTTATGAAATGTTAAACGTTATTTTTACGTCTAAAACAAATAACTTTAATAGAAGACTGTCATAAAACGATAATATGGAGATTTTAAAATTCAACGGCTTTAAATTTAAAACCATAAATGACAAACAATTATGGAATCCAGCCGTTTAGTTAAATGGAGAAAAGAATATCTCGATTTAATTACAAAGTATCGACGAGAGGGTAGAAACATTCATTTTTTAGATGAAACCTGGTTCGACACTCACGACATCATAAAAACATGTTTGACTGATGGAAGTTTAAAATGTAATGTAGACAACTCCATTTCGAGGAAAAATAATATGTATCTTACTTTGTGGTGGAGAATCAGGTTGGGTAGGAAGAGATCTTTTGCTCTCTGCAAAGGATGTACGAGATAGTAGTTTGGACTACCACCAGGACATAGAAAGTACACTTTTTTAAAAAAGGTTTGAGAGTACATAACTACCAAAACTAAATGAAAATAGTGTAATAGTTTTAGATAATGCCCCGTACCATTCTCCGTTGATACGAAAAAAACCAAATACCAATTCTACGAAATCAGTGATTCAGGACTTTCTAATGGAGAATAATATATTTTTTGAAGAAAACTAAACAAAAAAAAAAACAGTAAAACTTTTACACTTGGTTGATTTTCAACCTGAATATGTTATCGACACCACAGCAATAAAACATGGATTTAAAGATTTACGTTTATCACCCTACCACTGTATTTTGAACCCCATAGAATTATTATGGTTAAAATATTATTCTCGAGCAAATAACTCTTCTCCTAAGTCCACTTTATCTGTAATTGATGTAGTGAATAACTGTATAACTGTTGAAAACTGGAAAAACGCTATTCAACATGTTAAAAAAATCGAAGAGAAATATATAAGATTTATCAATACAATTAAAAAAATTGAAATTTGGATGATACTAATGATGATAGTGATATTATTTCAGAACATGAAATTAGTGACTGTGAAAGTGATTTAGAAATATAGACGTTTTTAAATTCATTTACCTATATTTCCACAAAATAAATCTAGTGAAACATATTCTTTTTAAATTAATACTTAATAATTTTAGTCAGTTTTAATTTTCAATATATTTTTAGTTGAACATGTTGTGTTTGGTAATAAAACCTTCATTTTTTTTACTTAAATACAAGTTTGCAGCGTGTTATAATTTTTTTCAATGCAATTTAGACCACAATAGGATCTTTATAGAAATCAAATTTTAAAAATTATCTTTAACATTTGAACAAATAACACTCAACCTAAGCCGGCTCTGATCAGCATGTTGACGAACGTTTCAAGATGTTGCCAGACCATTGCGCTTTCTAAATTATCTTGCAATGGACCATAGTCCCTAAATAAAAGTTAACTTGCGTTGTATGTTTTTTCTGCTAAGGCATTTGACAAATGTGTATCATAGATGCCTTAGACTTAGACAAAGCGGTAATAAACTTTTTTCGATTTAGTTGATAAATCGAAAACAAAGATCAAATTAAATAAATTAACTTAAGAGTTCCTGATGATATAATTCTAGAACGTTTTATTTTTATTATTTATTTAAATATTATTCTCAATTATCCAAATAACGATAAACTTATAAGGTTTGCCGACGATACGGCCATTGTTTATTATGCTTAATTGTAATTATCTAAGACAAAAGCCAAAAATTGGTAATAAAATATTTTTAATTTGTTAAGTTACTAGTTGTTGACCGTAAACTCCGAAAAAACCTGTTCTGTTCTATCTTTGCCGAAACTTGGTTAATAATAATCAAATTAGACATTCCAAGAAACATGTACTGTTATCTTAGGTTTAACGTACATATTAAAAATTATGTGAAAACATATTGAAAGCGTTACTACATATAATCAGATATCTTAAGACTATGATTAATACGCCTTACCTTAAAATAATCACTTGGGGAGAAGCTGCTACGTGTTATCTGAAAAAGTTGTATACATTACAAGAACAATTTTTAAAAATAATTTTCAATAAAAAATAAATATAATTTTTTATGATTCTTGATGTAAGATGTTTGTGCATCAACTAATTTAGTAACTAATTTAAAAAGTTTGTTAATAATGTATATGAAACTTGATATAAAAAAAACTAAAATATTCAATGTGTGTTATTAATTAAAAACATTTGCTTACAAGTCATAAAAATTGAATATACAGGACAGCAAAACGTCTGTTAACAAGGTATTTTGACTGAAACGAATAGATGTATAATTATGAAATTGTAGAGTGATGAATGGGATTTTGTTCTGCAATTTTTAAAGGACATGTCAAATTTATATGACGTCAGCGTTTAGCATACCGCCACCATGTTTTTTATAACAGCTACAATAGTTTACAGAAGTAATACGGACCTGGGACCGTTACTAAAAAAAGTAACGCGTTACTTTATCGTTACTTTTAATGCAAAGTAATGCGTTATATAATCGTTACCGTTACTTTTTTAAAAAAGCAACGAATTATTCGTTACTTTCCGAAAGTAACGCTTTATTGTAACTTTGTTACTTTTAAGGTAACGCGTTACTGAAAAAGTAACGCGTTAATGAAAAAGTAACGCGTTACTGAAAAAGTAAAGTAACGCGCGACTGCAAAAATAACGCGTTACTGCAAAAGTAACGCGTTACTTTAAAAAAGCGTTACTTTTGGAATTAAATTAATAACATTTTTACTATAGAACAAGAAAGGGATAATGAAAGTTATACTGTTATTTGTAATTCATGCTTTATTTAACTACATGTCTCAACACTTGAAAAATAAACAGTCTTACTCTAGCATTTATAATTATCTAATATTACTGCTATTCTGTCATATGTATGACGTCCGGAAAACCTTCTACAAGCAATAGCTGCTGACTTTCGTTCTAAATCATCCCCAATCCAGTGACACGTTACACCCAAAAAACTGCGGGTTTTGGAAGACCAAATATCTGCAGTAGTGCAAAAAAACTTATATTTTGAAATTCTCCTTTTAAATCCTCTTGTTTTTTTAACCATAATTCTGAAACTCTTTTTATTGCAGTTTTTCTACTCAACATTTACGTTCATTCCTTGAAATATTCCTCTAAAACATGGATGCTCAACAAACGATACAGCCAACATTGTGTCAACAATAAAATTAATAATTCGTTGGTCAAACTGTGTATTTTTTTGGATCTTTGAAAAGATTGAGCTATGTCCAATTGAGTTGAATTACTTGTTTGAAATGGGTCATTTGATTTGACCACTTTTTTGTCCTGTTTTTTTACATTTACATCCTCTTTGTGTTTCAAGTAGTCTTGGAATGCCACCTCATGTTGTTTTTTTAAATGTTTTACAAAATTTGCGTTTGAATTTGAGACACCTTGCAAAAGTTTTTTCCTGGGTAAACAAACTATACATTGTGCTATAAATTTAATGTCTTTTTGTTCCACAAAGCGAAAAAAATTTCTATCAAAAAGTGGGTTCATATTTTTATTCGTAGAAGTATAAACCGTTGTGGTGCTGGTACTACTTTCTGTATCTGATGTGGTACTATTATCAGGATCTGGAGTATCCTTTGGACTTTGTGTCATTATCCTTCTTCTTTTACTATTGTTAGTAAGAAAACTAAGCATGGTTTGACTCTTAATTATATTTGTCCTAGTGGTATCGGTATCGTGTTCCGGTATGTACTCTGGATCATCTGAATCATCAGTAGGTTCAAAAGGATCGGACACCGATTGCTGATCAGTTTCTGCCAGGTCTTTGTTTGGTTCCATCTGAAAAAAAAAACGAAAATGTCGAAATATAATAAATAAAAACATGCCATATTGAAATATTTAAAACGGGTTTTCTCTCAAAACCCCTTTTTTGACAAGCGCTTTTTTTGGTGAGAATTAATTTTATATGTTGTAATTATATATAGGGTGTTTCCTTCTGTATATACAGGGTGTCCTGAAATTAGACGCTCATATTTTAACAGCGTGATCTACATCCTAAAATAGGAATAAAAGTTCATGTAAACATAGGTCCGAAAACGTTTCGTTTTCGAGATACAGGGTGTTACAAGTGAAATCCTTATGGCAAATTTTTGTAAATATTTTCTAAAATTTCTTTAGTCACCGGTTTTCCAAAGTAAAAACAAATAAAATTTCTGATTTCACAGGCCTACTAATTATTGTTTACACTTTCGAATAACGTATCATGAAATTTTCAAATGCTTTTTTCTTGAAAATGGTGCGTCCTAGCGAGATGCAACAAAAGTAGCTTTATTATAAAGAAAACATTGGTTTTCCAAACTTTATAGTTAAAAATGTTAAAAACTGTCAACAAAAAAAACTTGGGGCAATTTTACCCAAAGCCCTCCCTAATTTACCCACCTATGAAGATGACCAAAAACTGTGGTTTAGTCCAATAAATAGATCGTAAAAAGATAAGCATTTGTACCAAATTTCATTTAGTTATTTTTAAACGTTTAGAAAATATTTACAGAAGAGTGTCATCCTGTATCTCGGAAAATAAACGTTTTCGGACCTATGTTTATATAAACTTTTACTCCTATTTTAGGATGTAGATTATGTTGTTAAAATATGACCGTCTAATTTCGGGACACCCTGTATATACATATATATATAGAATGTTACTATATTCGACCGACAATATCAACTTGAAATTTTCAGGAAAAATGAAGCTGTTTAAGCTTTAAGTGGACGAAACCTATTTATTTTGAAAAAATCGGATTAAAAATGAGGGGTTTAAGGGGGTTGAAACTTAAAAAAATCATAAATCAAACACAAAATACATTATCAACTTGAAATTTTTAGGAAAAGTCAAGCTTTATAAAGGGACGAAACCTATGGAATTAAAAAAAATCTGATTAAAAGTAGGGGTTGAACTTTTAAAAAATCATAAATCTAAAAAAAATACGATATCAACTTAAAATTTTCAGGAAAACTGAAGCTCTATAAGGGGACGAAGCCTATTGAGTTTGAAAAAATCTGATTAAAATGGAGGGTTTTAAGGGGGGTTGAAACTTAAAAAAATCATAAGTCAAACCAAAATACATTATTAACTTGAAATTACCAGGAAAAATCAAGATCTGTAAGGGAACGAAACCTATTGATTATGAAAAAAATCTGATTAAAAATTGGGGTTTAAGGGGTGTTGAAACTTAAAAAAATCACAAAACAAAATAAATGATCAACTTAAAAGTTTTAGGAAAAATCAAGCTCTATAAAGGGACAAAGCCCATTGATTTAAAAAAAATCTGATAAAAAATGGGGGTTTAAGGGGGGTTGAAACTTAAAAAAAAACACAAAAAAAATAAATTATCAACTTGAAAGTTTCAGGAAAATCAAGCTCTATAAAAGAACAAAGCCCATTGATTTAAAAGAAAAATCTGTTTAAAAATGGGGGGTTTAAACTTAAAAAAAATATAATACATCAAAAATAAAACATATCAACTTGAAATTTTAAGGAAAAATCAAGCTATATAAGGGGATGAAGCCTATTGATTTAAAAAAATCTAATTAAAAATGGGGGCTTTAAGGAGGAGGGGTTGAAACTTAAAAATCGTAAATCAAAAACGAAATACAATATCAACTTGAAATTTTTAGGAAAAATCAAGCTCTATAAGGGGACAAAGAATATTGATTTTTTAAAAAAAATCTGATTATAAATGGGGAGTCCAAGGGGGATGAATTTAAAAAAAAATCATAAATCAAAAACAAAACATGATATTAACTTGAAATAGGGAAAATGAAGCTCTATATGGGGGCGAAGAATTTAAGTTAAGTGGGGTCAAGATTTTAAAAAAATCATGAATCAACTTCAAAATTATAATAAAAATCAAGCTCTATAAGTAGATGAAGTTTATTGATTAGGGAAAAAAATCTAAATATGATTTGGAGGTTAAGGGAGTTAAAATATTTAAAAAATCCTAACATAAAAAGGAAAAATGACAACTACTTGAAATCTTTAAGAAAAAGCGACCTGTATATAGAGATAAAGCCTATTAAACTGTGAACGCCAAGAATAATACCGATTTAACCAAATTATTTCGTTCTAAAATTATTAATCCTATCTTAAGTTAAATTACACAGCAAGTCAAAATGTGAAAGTAATTACTTTTCACACTTTTGTTTAGAAGCAAAATACTATAACATAGTTGATTTTAGCTCTATCAAATTTCATTCTTTTTTTAACTAAAATTGAATAAAGGCAAAAAATAATCCTCTAGAGGTGTAAAAAATAGGGGCTAAACGTTGCCCCCAACGCATCAACTTAAAATAAATTTTACAAAATCTAGTTTTTGTCAAATTATATTACTTTCTAATATAGCAAATTGCTCACTAAATTTTAAAAACTTGTAGCAATTTTTGATTTATAACAAATTTTTATTTTAAAACATCGACCTCCTGTATCTCAGAAACTACAGCCCTTAAAGGATTTATGTTCCTAAATTATTATTAGATGCTATTAATTAGCGAGAACTCTTAGCCGTAGAACGTTGGCGGTCAAATATCGCATCACCCCGTATATCGCCGAGGTTTTATCTTATTTGGATACCTGGTAGAATTACTAATGAATCAGCTTGATAAAACTAGGCATACTCAGTTTGAGACGAAAAGCAAGCTTAAAATAATTATTTACTTACCTGTACTGTATCCTGTATTTTTGTGTTGTGCACTTTGCATCTAGCCTTCCCTTCCAATAGTCCTAATCAGTGAATCAGTCACCACTATTCACTATTTATTAATAACTTAATTAACACTGAAATAATTGTTTTAGTAGTTCTTATTCAAAGTTCAAAGTCATAAAACAAAATTCATCTCCGTACCCCGAATTTATAGAGTAGCAAAATAATCTTGTCTATTCCTGTTTAAGCAAATCTGCAAGTGCACAAACAATTTTTAACGTGTTTAAACATTCATTTCATTTGAGTATTATTAGAGCGAAGATACATGACAGTATTACCACTAAGTGCGATTTATTACATTAATATTATAAATTTAATTAGATATATTATAAAATTGTATATAAAATAGTCTAATTATGATATAACAATTAGATTAGCAACATAAAATTGTTGGAAGTTTTATTGAAGATTGGTTTTATGGATTTACTTTGGGGAAAATTAAAATACTTTTTGTCAAAAATTAACATCGCATATTCCTTTTTAAACAAAATACAACATACATACGGAGTGATCTGGCGTTACTCAGCCAACAAAAATAAATAGGTATAAACACGAAGTATATATATTATTTTGCTTTCAATACAAAATAATTAGATGTTATGTTATGTTGATAATGGGGTGTTAATACACTGCGACCTAAAAGATCTATTGTGCCCCCTTCTGTCGCCACTGCACTAAGGAAATGTCTCAATGCCTATAGCGACCCTTCCAATCCTATTTTCTCAAGGAAGTGTAGGATTTGAAGTGGCTTCAAGTTAGGTAAGTCTCCCTCTTCTATTTGATATCCTCCTAGATATAGTGCCCTTGGATTCTGGAGTGCTACACATTCAGTTAGGATGTGAATGGAGGTTTCGTCGTCCTCCTTACAGAATCTGCACTCACTATCCTCTACTACTCTCAGTTTACTTAGGTGTCCTTTTAGTCGGCAGTGCCCAGTAAGGATCCCTGTTACAATACGTAGCCTGTTCTTGCTCAGGCAGATGCAGGCTTCCGATCTTTTTTGGTTATATTCACCCAGAAGTATCTTGGCCTGTCTCAGCCCCAAGAGATTGTTCCAATTATAGCTGATTACGTAAGAACTCAGTGCTTTGATGGCTGCTTGACTATCGGACATGATGATAATCTCTTGTCTATGATAGTTTCTCTCGATGTTAAACTGGATACACTTCTCGATGGCGTGAATTTCCGCCTGGAAGATGCTTGGGTATTTTCCCAAGCTTTCGGAGTGCTTGGTTCTCGGCCCATACACTCCTATTCCAGTTCCTTCTATGGTTTTGGAACCGTCCGTGTACCACTGAATAGCACGTCTTTCGGTTGCAAGCGCGATGGATTCTTGGCTCCATTCTTTCTTGCAGCCCAGCTCTGTGGTTTTGAAGTTTTTCACAAAACTGTACTTCTTTTGCATTTCATCCTGGGGCATGTCCCAGGTATCTTTAGTCCTGAAGCAAGTAGACTTTCGTCTGATTACTCCGCTCCTGATCATTCTTTATCGTGTCCTTTTTGCCACATTCTCTATCATCAAATGTAGAGGGGCGAGGTTTAAGATCACCTCCATTGCGGCCGTAGGACAGGTTCTCATTGCACCAGTAATGCAAACACAGGCTAGTCTTTGTACTTTTGAGATATTAGCTCTCGTAGTAACTAAACTAGTTCTGTTACTCCAGGCTATAGCCCCGTAAGTGATGATTGGTCTCACTATTGCAGTATACATCCATCGCAGTATGTTTGGGTTACATCCCCATCGTTTACCCGCCATGTTTCTGCATACCATTGGGGCTTTTGTGGCCTTATTTACTACTTCCTTCTCATGTGTGTTCCAGAGAAGTTTGTTGTCCAGGGTTAGGCCTAGATATTTGACTTCATACATACGGAGTGATCTGGCGTTACTCAGCCAACAAAAATAAATAGGTATAAACACGAAGTATGCATATTAATTTGCTTTCAATACAAAATAATTAGAAATATACAGGGTGTAACAAAAAGGTGCACAATAAATTAAACCAGTTTCAGGGGTCAAAAAAAGTTGATTTAGTGTAACTTGCTTTTATAAAAAATGGATAGTAAAAAATTTACAGGTTTTCA